AGCTTTTGCAGGAATTGAACCGTGACCTCCTGGTTCATAGTTCAACACTCAACCACTGAGCCACACCAGCTGAGCTATTCTTGTATTATTATTTATTAATTATTGTATTCAAAAGTGGATACAACTGTAAATCTACTTTTGCCCCCCCCATCCCCCCCATACAGCATCACACTTCAGACCCTACCTGGGGTTACTGTGTGATGGGCAGAACCCACATCTGCTCAGTGGAGTCCAGGGCAGCAGTAGAAATGGCTGTTAGAAAGGTGGCGACTCCACAGCCCAGGAAGAGAGGTTGGCAGCACAGTTTTGGGTAGAAATAACAGAGGACAAAATTGGGTGTGCCATGGTGTTAGCCGTGCACATGTGTCAAACATGTACACATGCAGGTCCATGTGTCATGGCCCTCAGGGGTCCACGCGGGACTGGGCTGAGTGTGGGGCTTGCTCTGTGCCCCCTTTGCTTGTGCAGTTTATGCTTCAGGGGTTTCCTCCGCTCATGGCCCCGCTGAGTTCTCCGTCTTTCCTAGATTGTCCTGGCCTTCGGCAACTACATGAACAGCAGCAAGCGTGGAGCAGCCTATGGCTTCCGGCTCCAGAGTCTGGATGCGGTGAGGGCTGAGGGGAGGGGTCCCCTGGACTGGGAGAGGGGGGCAGGGCTGGTGGCCTGTGGCTTACAACAGGCCATTGCAGCTGCTGGAGATGAAGTCGACTGACCGAAAGCAGACGCTGCTGCACTACCTGGTGAAGGTCATTGCTGAGAAGTATCCACAGCTCACAGGCTTCCACAGTGACCTGCACTTCCTGGACAAGGCGGGCTCAGGTACGGGTGGGCAGTACCCCCATCCTTGGGTTGGGGGAGCGGCTCAGCCCTGGAGATTGATACGGGTTGGGAGAAAACAAGGCGACCACAGGGTGTCATCGGACAGGAATGCTGCCTCTCTGATTCCCTGCCTCTCCACTGCCCCCTCCCCCAGTGTCCCTGGACAGCATCCTCGGGGACGTGCGCGCCCTGCAGCGAGGCCTGGAGTTGACCCAGCGGGAGTTTGTGCGGCAGGATGACTGCGCGGTGCTCAAGGAGTTCCTGAGGGCCAACTCCCCCACCATGGATAAGCTGCTGGCAGACAGCAAGACAGCGCAGGTGGGCGGGGGCCGGCCAGGTGGGGAGATGGGGAGGGCGGGGTGGGGGTAAGCAGGGCTACCTAGGTGGGGTCGAGTAGCCCAGGCTTGGACGGGAGCGGACACCTTGGGGGATGGAGTAGGAGTGAGGGGCCACCTGCCGGGAGGAGCGGAGATGAAGTCGCTAGAGTCTTAATGGGGGGACAGAGCCGTGGTCAGGCTTCGAGGGGTCCACACCGATGGGGCTGACAGGCTGTGTCTGCAGGAGGCCTACGACTCCGTGGTGGAATACTTCGGAGAAAACCCCAAGACCACGTCCCCCTCCATGTTCTTTACCCTCTTTAGTCGCTTCGTCAAGGCCTACAAGGTATGTGTTCCTGGTAGGCAGCTGGGACCACTCTGGGTACTGCAGCCTTTCCGTGTGGGCAGTGGGAGGGGTGAGGCTGCTTCTGTTGGGGGGCGGGATCGGTGAGGGAGGCCTCAGCTCATGGAGACCAACCTTGGCCCCTCAGAAAGCCGAGCAGGAGGTGGAACAGTGGAAGAAAGAAGCGGCTGCTCAGGAGGCAGGCGCTGAAACTCCAGGCAAAGGGGACTCCCCAGCACTCAAGGTAGGCGGCTGCCCCTGAGCGTGGCCCTGGGATGCAGGGGTGCGTAGTGTCCTCATCCCAAAGATCTGGCCCTCCTCCACACCCTCATTTTTACTAATGGACCCCGTGAGTAGCCTGGGATGGGAAGGGGTTCCTTCTGCTCCAGCCAGCAGTGGGGGCTTGCTGGGGGCAGGAGGGCACCAAACAGGGTGTGGTGGTGTTGGGGGGAGGGGATCCTGGAGCTGGAGCTACATGCCCTTCCCCTCCCCCCAGTCCCCACCCAAGGCTCGGAGGCCACAGATGGACCTCATCTCTGAGCTGAAACGGAAGCAGCAGAAGGAGCCACTCATCTATGAGAGTGACCGCGATGGGGCCATTGAAGACATCATCACAGGTGAGGGCTTGGCCTGGCCTGTCTCCTCCTCTGTCTGTCCTCTATGCTGTCCTCCATCACCTCCCACCCTGGGGGTCTGGCTGCCTCACTGCCTCTTTGCTACTTTTTCTGTCTTTTTCCTTTTCCCTTTCTCTCCCCACTCTTCCCCCCTAACCCTCAGTGCTCAAGACGGTGCCCTTCACGGCCCGCACTGGCAAGCGGACATCCAGGCTCCTCTGTGAGGCCAGCCTGGGCGAGGAGATCCCCCTCTAGCCCTCAGGTACCTCCGACAGCCTGGCCTCCGATTCCTGGGGCTGCCCATAGCCCTGGGGGCCCGGGGGCGGGGGCGGGAATGAGTGCTGCTGCCCTCTCCTGGGACCCGCATGCTGGGATGTGTTTGAGGGGGTCTGGTAAACATAGACAGGCCCCTTCCCACATGTATACCACCTGGTCCCCAGGAGGGTGAGGCGTGTGCCCTGCACAGACTCCTGAAGGGTAACTGAGCCTGTCTCCTCTCTGCTAGACCTGCGGAACCAGCCCTACATCCGCTCGGACACAGGCCGCCGCAGCGCCCGCCGGAGACCCCCGGGACCCCCCCTGCAGGTCACCTCGGACCTCTCGCTGTAGCCCCCATTTCCACAGATGGACTCTGGGGATGGGGAGGGGCAAGACGGGGCTCAAGGAAGGGGGCCCTCAGCTCGGCTGGGCCGGGCAGCCCTTCTGCCGCTGGCCCAGCCAGGGGCTCACCCCGATGGGCAGGCGCCCTCTCATCTTGCTACAGGGGTCAGTATCGCCGGCCCGCCCCCCAAACGCTGCTCGCAGCGCCCTTCTCCCCCCAATAGCCATACTGTACTTAGCCTCAGCGGGAGCCTGGCCGGTAACTTATAAAGTGCAACCTCGCCCCCCGCCCCCCGCCCCCATCCGGGGACTCTCCACGGACCTTATTTTTATACAAGATTAATAAAGATGTTTGCAAGAGGTCTGCGTCCGCTCCGTGCCCCCCACCGCACAGCAGCCTGTCTCGGGCAGCCAACGCTTTGCTGGTGCAAGTCCTTCACAGCAGGCGTCTGCCAACCGCTCGGCTGGCGGAGGGGAAGGGGTGGCTTCGGCACTAGAGTTGGGGGGCGGGACCAGCGTCGAGGGGTTCCACCAGCCCTGTTCCTAGCTGGGGACCCTGCGGCATCCTTAGCCGTGTCCGTGAGTGCCCTCCGATTGCACCCCCCCAGCCCATCGCGCCTCCATCTCCGCCAGCCCACCCCGTTTCTAGGCCTCCTGCTCCGACTCTTCTCCGCCTGCTCCTCCCCTCCCCGCTGGGCGCCCCCCACCTGCCTGCCCCGCCCCTACTCTCCCACCTCGCCCCCCTCCCCCGCCCCTCCTTCCCCGGCCTTTGCCTGGGCTGCTTGGCCCCCGGTTAGTCCCCAGCTTGGGGTGGCCGGAGGGGCAGGGCTGGGGAAGTCGGATTTAGGAACTGGAGGCCAGGTGTCTGAGAGGAGGGGCTGCGCGGAGCTGGGTGGGGAAGCAGGAGGAGGGAAAGGAGGGGCCCGTCCTGAGCGAGAGTCCCTCTTCTCCCGGGTCCCAAAGGGGCGCACCCCCTTCATGAGTCTGCAGCACACGCGCAGCTTGGAGTGGGGAAGGCCGCTGAGCCGCTCGGCTGGCAGCAGAAGGGGAGGCCCTGGTGACCACGCCGTGCAGCCTGGGCCGCAGGACCTGCCCTGGCAGCCTGGTTCAGCCGCAGAGTCCGCTGCTTCTCCGAGGAGCAGCTTGAAGGAGAAAAGTGGGGCAGCGCCTGGGACACCGCCTCCCCTCCTTCCATCCCACAGGGGAAACCCAAACTGGACAGGAAGCCACTTGTCTCTGGCCTGGGGCGGGTTGGGGCCCAGGAAACAGGCCCACGGGGCTGCGCACGCATGTCCATGGGGCTGCTGGCGGGAGCTGACAGTCTGAAGCTATCCTGGAATATGGGGGCAGGTAGCACCGTGACCCGCACACATAATACAGAGGACAGTGGCTGCTGTGTGTGGCACTTGTTTAGTGACCATTCAGTTCTCATGTCCAAAACTCACGTTTAAACAAGTTTGTATGAAGAACGTTAAAAACTCATGTCCAAGGCCACAGCACCAGCAGGGACAATGCTGGGCTTCGGACCCGGCGGTCTGGCCCTGGAGCTACAGAGCATCGAGGCTGCAGGAGCCCTGCTGGCACCTGGAAGTAGCAGGCACAGCAAATTATTGATGAATAAAATGCTTCTGTTTTGTGGGGGCTCTG